GTAGTAGACGTTGGGGCAACTAGAGTCCCGTCGCGCCTAATCCGAGGGTCAAGCCTTTAGTTCCGCTCTCCTTGAGCGTTGAACCGTGAAAAGATTGGTACTCCTTTCGAGGAGGTCGCCGCCTTAGATCAAAAAGTTTCCGACTCACTGTGTGCGTCAAGGATGTCGTAGCAAACTTGACTTCTGGATCTCCAATGTCTTTGAAAGCGAAGGAGTGAAAGACAGTGGGCTATGCCAACCTATTGGCGCCCAAAGAGAGGGGTGCTAATGTTTGATTACGCTACGTCATCCTCAAAGCGGAAAAGTGTGAACAACACACATACGAGGTGTGTTCAAAAAGTAAGGTGACTTTGTATTTTTAAGATAAAATATTTATTTATTTATCAATATTTATGTTGTGCCCTTCAAAGTACTCTCCCTCATATACAATACACTTATGCCAACGGATTTTCCAATCCTCAAAGCATTTCTCATAAGCACTTTTCGGTATAGCCTTGAGCTCTTCCAGCGACGCAGTCTTTATTTCTTCAATCGTTGCAAATCTCCGTCCTTTCATAGGTCTCTTTAGTTTTTGGAACAAGAAAAAGTCACATGGGGCCAAATCCGGTGAATATGGTGGCTGAGGCATGATTGTGGTGTTGTTTTTGGCAAAAAAATCTCTCACAAGCAAAGATGAGTGAGCAGGGGCATTATCGTGATGCAAAAGCCATGAGTTGTTTTTTCACAATTCTAGGCGTTTTCTTCGTATTTCTTCTCGCAAACGGCGCATAACTTCAAGATGATACTGTTTATTGACCGTACGTCCGTATGGTAAGAACTCCTGATGTACCACGCCATGGTAATCGAAGAAAACAGTAAGCAAAACTTTGACATTTGATCGAACTTGGCGTGCTTTTTTCTGTCTTGGCTCATCTGGGCTCTTCCATTGAGACGATTGGACTTTGGTTTCGATATCATAACCATATACCCATGATTCATCACCAGTTATGACCCTTTTGAGTAAATCTGGGTCGTCGTTGACGTCGTTCAACAGTTCTTCAGCGATGCTCATGCGACGGTTCTTTTGGTCAAAATTTAGCAATTTCGGAACACACTTCGCTGACACACGTCTCATGCCCTAAACGTTAGAAAAAATTTCACGGCACGAGCCAAGCGATATACCAACATCCTCAGCAACTTCTCTGATAGTGATTCGACGATTTTCCAGAACAATTTTCTTCACTGCTTGAACGTTTTCATCAGTTGTTGACGTGCTTGTGCGTCCAGAGCGAGGCTCGTCATTGGCATCTTTCCGGCCATCTTGGAAGAGTTTATACCACTTGTAAACATTTTTTTTACTCAGAACAGTGTCACTGTATGCCACCGTCAACATTTCAAGTGTTTCCGAGCACTTTATTTTATTTTTTACACAAAATTTAATGCAAATCCTTTGATCCATATTTTTCCATAGCAAGAAATCGCCGAGCACGCAAAACACTTATAACCTTTACGCCTCTCACAACCAAACAAAAAATGCTATACACTTGAAACTTGGTACAGATGTTCGGGAAGAGTGTACCAACATAACAAAACAAAAAAATCGATAATCGAAAGTACGTTGCCCGTGAAATTTGAAAAGTCACCTTACTTTTTAAACACACCTCGTACACTAACTATCCCTTGACTACGTAATGAGTGGTAATAAACGAGAAAAGAAACAACTAATGTTTTCTCTCGGTAAAATGATTTTTAAAAAATTAATAACATGAAAACTACAGTAATTTTAAACTAAAAATCTAATAATGACATGAAACTAGACCTTCATAAATATTTTTAAAGTCATTATAAATTTTACGATTTCAATAAACCTAATAATGTTTATAATGAACTGATTAATGAGTTGCATAGATCATCAATTGAATTATGAATTTAAAATTGACGTTAGGTTTACACAGCTTATTACAATTTGTTTTCACCAATTAATAATTTTAACTTATTTTCTCATTTATTACTACTTTTATTTCTTTTTGACTTCACGAAGAAGAATAGAAAATTTTAATTTTTTTTCAATTGCATAATAAAATGTGTTTGTAACATTTTCTAACGTTTGTGACGGCTGAGAGCGCGTGCGGTAACAAAATATGAATCGTCGAACCAAGAGAGACAAGGGATCGAGACAACGCTGAACAGATAGTGGCCAGGAGAAAACTTCAATTAATGCCTAAGCCATTGAGGATTTCAATCCAGCTTGCCGTCAACCTGCCAGTAGTTCCAGTCACAGTTCCTGCCTGAAGGCTTCGGCGCGTCGGTGAAGTGCTCGCGATTATCCGCGAGCACGGCGAGAACGGCGAGACCCTCCTTTGAACTCCTCTCAACCTTTATTGTACCACGCTCCCGTGTGTTCTTCCACACGAGCGAAGGCACGCGGTCATAGAGAACGATGCGTAAATCCGTATCTTTATAGTTGTAAATATTAATGAGTAATAAAATTAGTATAATGAAGGTTATTGAGAGTAATTATTGTGTGTGTCCGTCATTCTCTTCCTCCCGAGTTATCATCCATTACGCCAACTTCGTGACGAGGCCCATCGTCACCATTGCAGTAGAGCGAAAGAACCTCCCGCACTTTCCACTTGTAAGCAATTAGTGAAACGGCGCTCGGATACGGGCCCATTGTATGGCTCGTGGGAATTATGAATACAATAATTCCTTAAACGCGTATGTTCTGTGTTACACATCTGTACCGGCATGAAATGTAAATTAAACGTGTTGATGCCGAAGAATTACCTCCATGAAATTTTTAAAGGGAGCAGAAAACGTAATTATGCGAAAAATTATGTTATTTTCAAATTTAGCACGTGAATTTATAAAAATATTATAATGTATGATAGTTTTATGCTATCAATATGAATGAAATAGTACAAAAAAAGTTTACAAATTTTACTAAAAATTAATGTGAAAAAAATCGACACTATCTATGATGACTATATCTATTTTTGCTTTTTTCTCACTCTATAAGCATTATATTGGGAGTACAAATAGAAAACCGCCGTTTTCCCATAGGTGGCGTCAGTATTGCACGTCGGTAAAAAATTGTTAACAGGAACGTTACATAGCCAGCTGAGGCATTTGTCAACAACTCTTCATCACCTCGCTTGTCTATTTTTACTGTGCTTTGTTTTGTTCGTGCGCAAAAATGGCAAAATTCGAGCCGAACAGGAGACATTTGCGGGAAGTGTTGCTTTTGGCATTTCATTCGGGAAAAAATGCAGCTGAGGCGCGTCGAATTATTGTAGAAACTTATGGTAACAACTGTATTAGTGAAAGAACGTGTCGGGAATGGTTCCAATTGTTTAGAAATGGCGAGTATGACGTAGATGACAAGGATCGTCCTGGACCCGTAAAAAAGTTCGAGGATGTGAAATTGGAGGCTTTGCTGGATGAAGATTCTTGCAGAACGCAACAGGAACTTGCGGATTTATTGGGCGTAACTCAACAAGCCGTTTCCCATCGCTTGAAATGCTTAGGAATGATCCAGAAAGTGGGATGTTGGGTGCCGTACGAGCTGAAGCCGAGGGACATCGAACGGCGTCTTGTCACATGCGAACAACTCCTCCAACGGCAAAAAAGGAAGGGTTTTTTGCATCGCATTGTGACCGGCGATGAAAAGTGGATACACTATGACAACCCAAAGCGGAGAAAATCGTGGGGTCTTCCCGGCCATGCATCAACTTCGACAGCGAAACCAAACATTCATGGCTCGAAGCTGATGCTGTGTATTTGGTGGGACCAGCTTGGCGTAATTTACTATGAACTCCTGCAACCACGCAAAACCATCACAGGAGCCCTCTATCGGACGCAATTGATTCGTTTGAGTCGAGCGTTAAAGGAAAAACGCCCAAAGTACGCGGAAAGGCACGACAAGGTCATATTTCTGCATGACAACGCTCGGCCACATGTTTCCAAGGTCGTGAAAACATACCTGGAAACTTTGAAATGGCACATCCTATCGCACCCGCCGTACTCTCCTGACATCGTCCCTTCTAATTTCTACTTGTTCCGATTGATGACGCATGACCTGGCCGAACAGCACTTTCGTTCTTACGAAGAAACCAAAAATTGGATCGATTCGCGGATCGCGTCAAAAGACGAACAGTTTTTTCGAAGAGGAATTCAGAAGCTGCCAGAAAGATGGGAAAAAGTTGTGACTAAGGATGGAAATTATTTTGAAGAATGAGATTGTAACGAGTTTTTTACAATAAAACCTCAAATTATTAGAAAAAACGGCGATTTTCTATTTGTACTCCCAATAGAATCATTCTACAGAATAATTTCTTAAGGGCCAAAACATTTGGTTTTGTGAGCTTTCAGACCACACATGAATACTTTTTTTGAACCAGGCGCTTAGGCCTTTGGGTGTATTGTTGGAGCCAATGGTTTAACTTAGACATCAATGTCTTTTTAAGTATAGGTATTCTAACGGCATTATTAGTTTTAAGCCAAATTTACTCTAGTCTTGCTGTAATAAAAAGAGCTGCGATTTCTTCTAAAATCTTCATTATTTGCGATTTATGTCCAAATAGCAGATTATATTTTTCTGTAAATGTGTATTTGCATATAAATTTTAACATTATGCTAAAAAGTAAGTGAAGAGGTATATATCTCTTTCTCTTCCTCCCTCTCCCTCTCTCTCTCATTTGCGTTCTCTATTCTCTACCATGGTCGCTCTATAGTATAAATGTGTACCTTGACATATAGCCATTCATTTCATTACACTAAGGATCTTCAATATTTAGTTGAAAATAGCTTATAGTTATAGAAAATTTTAATGTAATTAAAATTTTTATGTTAATAGAAAAAATGTCATAGATATTTTTATCTATAAATGAACTTTCTATTTTTATACATAATTAAGTTAAATATTAAATTTTTTATTTTAATCTATGAAACTATGTTTTCCCTGAGTACAACGGTAATATAAATTAATTTTTTTCAATTAAGTTTATGATTATGTTTTTCAGTTCTGTCCCAGTATATTTCAAGTGGTTTTCCTATTTGTCATGGTTCAAATATGGTAATGAAGCTCTGTTAATTAATCAGTGGATCGATGTTGATAACATTGCTTGTACGAAAAGTAATACAACTTGTCCGAAATCTGGACTGATGGTTCTACAGACGTTAAATTTCAATAAGGTAAATCAGAATATGAAAGAAGGCATTTAAAAGTCTTAAAATTCATTTTTAGATATATTACATTGTTATTAAACAATAAAATAAAATTGTTAGTAAATCTAATTTTTTCATTACAGGAATATTTTTGGATAGATATTTGGGCACTAGTTACCTTAATCATTTTATTTCGCATTGCAGCGTTAATAGCACTTATTGTAAAAACTTGGAGAAAAAACATATAAAAATAATTATCTTGTGTAAAACATTAAATAAATAATAAATATTCATGATACTATTAGATTTTTTCTATAATACTATAAGTAGATCCAAAACACTTCAAATTTTATGTTTTACCACTTGATATTATTATCCTAAGCATATACTCATAACTTATAGTTGATTACAGATTGTTACGTGACGGACCATTTTATTTTCTTTGTTATGATATGTCTGATTAGAATTGCGCTTTCGGGAGTCTCATTCGTGTCGCGCCAAGGCCAAGAACATAGCGATAAAACACTATACCCAGCAGTTCCCGTGTGCGCGTCTTGGCGAGAATAAGTGGAAAAAGTTTAGCATACTGCTGCAGCATGCTGCACTCAGCGTGTTAGGCTAAGTAATATAAAGCGATTAAAAACGCATAAATCAGAGAGAGAGAGACAGAGTGTAAGGAATGAGAGAGGAAAGCAAAAATGCAGAGACGAACTGTGAGAGCGAGACCCGACCGTTAGTAGTGAGCGTCCGAGTAGTAGGCTGCAATTCTTTCGCTACGATATAATAATTAAATTTGTTGGAATTATTAACTCTATAAGAGAGTCTGCCTAAATTGAAGTTCAGTTATATTAAATTTTCATTTACTAGAATATTAAAGTTTGAATTTATCGAAGATTGATTTAATTGAAGTTTGTGTTTATAAAAGATTAAAGTCTAAATATACCAAAGATCAATTTAATTGAAAAAATTAGAAAAGTGCTGAGAGCGATTATTTGAAGCTGCAAAATCGAACAAACACAGAAGTCTATATTGGACCAATAAAATTATTAAAAACGAAGGAAGATTATAATTGCGTATCGATATAATAATACTAAAAGACCAAATCATTCCAATATCATAATTACGAAGTGAATACCACTTATGTTTATGTACTAAGAATAATAGACTATACGTGGCGAAACATGAGACTAAAGAATGAGTAAGTTCTTCCGTTCGATTAATGAAAACGTAGCCAATATCTCATTCGTTCGAGAGGCGCTTCCTCTGGAAGAATACCTGAAGGATGTTACAGACGACACGCTTTCATTGGCCCTTCATGGATGTCCAGCTACCATGAGGACCACGACGATTCACTTTATTTCTGTCCAGCAGTGAGCGCTGGTTTCGACTCCAGGGCAACCGGTGCCATCACCAACTTCTTGCATCTCGTACATACTCACCGGTTCGTCACAGACCTCCTTGACTGCGCATAGACTGAATATTAATTACATTGTTATGTCTGAGGCACCAGAGTGGTTTCGCAGGGAGTCACAACTGACCGCGAAGCGTCACGAGATGAAAGCGCAACTCAACTCTGAGCGATTTGAGAAGCTCTGTGGACTCTGGACCAAAATGCAGGAGGAATTCCGTCCTGGTTGATAAGCCAGAAATTCTGGTCCATGGTTTGCCTCCTGGATTTCGAGGTTCTCTCTTCCAGACCGCAACCTCTATTCTCATTACGTTTGGTTTTGATGGTGAGAACAACTTGCCTGCGATTATTGGGACGAGGAAGTGAAGTCCCTCAACCATCGTCGCTCTGCTGCACCCTTAAATCAGCCTCAACCGTCCTCTCTCTTGAGCTATAGCACTTGACGGAAGTCGTTTACTTTTCTGCTCAATTCACGAACTTCACGAGATAGAATAATTGAGTATTCGCCGAGGCTTAAAGAGCATACTGCGCAGACGATTTTTGGCTATGGAGATAGTTTCCGAGTCTTACTGCGACCAATCTACCCTAAGCCTGTTTTTGAGCTCTTGTCCAAGGCTAGAAGAGTGTGTGAGGATCTTGGATATGCATGGCCTGTAGTTCGAAACTTGGAGATTTTCTGCCGTGCCACGCCACATTAGGAGCTCATTCCCGTTGTCTTTGAAGCCGATCTACGTAGTCTTCCGACGCTGGCACCTCACCAACTAGTATCACGCTTGGCAGGAGCTGGTTATCAGCCTCACCCTGCGGCTACACCATTTGTACCTCTTGGTGGTATCCACCACGATCCCCGACCTCCTCGCTCTGACCATCATTTCCTATCTCTCGCAAATCCACCGAACCTCACTCTTCCTACAAAAACTGCCTTCTCCTCTCAGTCACCAACCCTTGACTTGGTGGAAACCTCATGACATTCACCGGTCTCGGTGAATAATCCTGTCACCACCTCTACCTCCTCTTAATCATCCCTAACCGTCGCGCACATCAATATAAATGGTCTCAACGGCCTTGAGTAAGTGCACTCAATGCCTGGTCTCTCTGCTTTTCGGGCAAAGACAGTATGAACGTGTTAAGTTTTCTATCGAGCTAGAGCGATTGCCAGCGTATTATGGCATTTCTGACGGAGAAACACTAATAGCAATAACCAACGCGTTTCGTGACAAGACGCATTCGTGGTATGAAGTAAATCGCGATCTTAAAAATTTCAAAAAGAGCTTTTCTAGCGAATTTTGCCACAGATTGAACAGAAAGCAATTCTACGGTGAGTTACGGCAGAGAACGTAGAGCGAAGACGATAAAATTGTAGATTTCGTCGTGGCTTGTCAAACGATTTTGTGCCGATTCATTCTGCCTGTTTCGCTAAAACGATAATTAGCGATTCTTATAGAGGGTTTATATCCTAAGTATAATCAATTTCTAGGAACCAAAGCCTTTAAAGACTTAAATGTCTTTAAAGGATTGAGTACCGCGTTAGAAGAACGTATAGCAGTGTGACGTTGGAGTACACGTGCACTAGAGATGGCTATTAGCTCAGCACAACTCCACGCACTGGGTAAACTCCATAGCTATTGTCACTCACTATTGTTTCGGGTTTGCCGTATCGAAGGATCAGATTCCTCATTGCGTTAGTGACTGCTTTGGTGGAAACCATGTGGAGCGGCGTTGCTTTCACCTACTTCGTAAATTTATTTTGCGAGACCAGAAACATAGTGTGCTGATTTGAAGATCGTGATAAAGGGCCTATGAGGTCCGTGTTTAAAATTTGTCCCGGGTGTGAGGTGGCTTAGGCGTGCATGAGGCGTGGTTTGCGATTCTGGCTGGTATTCATTTTTTAATTGGTTCCGCGGAGACAGTTGAATACGGTTTTTAAGTCTTCTATTTGTTTCGTGAATGTCTTGCTGAATACTATGTTTGTTCAAAAAGTATCGCGAATTTTCAATTTCCTCGGGCTACGTAAATTTGATTTCTGATTTTTTTGTAGCGTTATGTTGGTACTCATGTCCCTTACTTATGCTGACAAGGTCGGCTATTTTGAATGTTTAGTTAATTTTTGACAGCTGTTTTGCCTGGATGTGTTTTGGATCGTCTTCGAATTTTGCCTATTCTAAAAAAATGGAACAAAGAATATGTATCAAATTTTGTGTGAAAAACAAAATAAAGTGCACGGACGTATTCCGAACGTTGACTGTGGTATATGGTGAAGCTACGTTGGAGCAAAGCAACGTTTATCGGTGGTACAAAATGTTCTCAGAGGGTCGAGAACATGTGAACGACAAACAAGGTGCTCGACGCCCGAGCACGTCAACAACAGACGGAAACATTGATAAAATGAAAAAAATAGTATCGAAAATCGTCGAATCACCGTTAGAGGAGTTTCTGAGGATCTAAATGTATCGATTGGCTCATGTCATTCGATTTTAACCAATGATTTGGGCATGAGTCAGATCGCCGTGAAATTCGTCCCAAAACTGCTCAATTTCGACCAAAAACAGCATCGCGTTAACATTGTTCAGGAGATGTTGGATTCGGTCCGTGACGAACCAAAGGTGCTCCAGAAGATCATAACTGGTGATAAATCATGGGTTTATGGTTATGATGTGGAAACCAAAGCTCAATCATCCCAATGGAAGCTGCCGCATGAGCCAAGACCGAAAAAAGCGCGCCAAATTCGGTCGAACGTGGAGGTTTTGCTCACAGTTTTCTTCGATTACAAGAGCGTAGTGTATCATGAGTTCTTGCCACAGGGTAGTATGGTCAATAAGGAATATTACCTATAAGTTATGCGCAATTTACGCGAAGCAATCTGTCAGAAACGTCCGGATTTGTGGAAGAACAAGAACTTGCTATTGCACCATGATAAAGCTTCTGCTCACACAGCGTTGTTTGTGCGCTAATATTTGGCCAAAAACAACACAGAAATGATACCGCAACCACTGTATTCCCTAGACCTGGCCCTCTGTGACTTTTTGCTGTTCCCAAAACTGAAGAGGTCCATGAAAGGACGACACTACACCACAATTGAGGAGATAAAGATGGCATCAAAGGAGGAGCTGAACAAAATCGCAAAAAATGATTTTTTTAATTGCTTCGAGGATTGGAAAAAACGTTGGCACAAGTGCATTATATCCGAAGGGGGTTACTTTGAAGGAGATAAAATAGATATTCATGAATAAATAAATAATTTTTATTTATTAAATTTATGAATACTATGATACTTTTTGAACAGACCTTGTATGTAGGGTAGAGCGAAAAAGCGAACTCTCCTGGATCTGGCCCGATGACCTTGTCTAGTAAACGCTGAAATGTGGCTCCGGTGGAATGGAAGCCGAACGATAGAACTCGAAATTGTTTTAAGCCTCGCCCTGGTACGATCAATGAGGTTAGTGGTTGGCTTTGTTCCGTGAGCTTCTCTTACCATTATCTTTTTTCCAGATTGATCGATAGAAACTTAGCTCCCCGCAGTTTGTCTAGCGTAGAGTTGATTTGGGGCAGCGGGTACCCATCCCCTTCGCATTGCTTATTTAGTTGTCTGAAGTCTATGCAGTACTTTAATTTGCCATCCTTCTTTCTGACGATGACGATCGGTGAGCTCCACGGGCTGAATGAGTTTTCGATGACTCCCTCCGCTTGCATCATTGAGACCTGCTCGTCGATGATTATTTGCATAGCGGGATTTCGTGGTTGGTAACGTTGTTTGGCTAAACTCGGGTTCGTTAGTTTGAGGCCCGGTGTTGGTTGCAAGCTGAGCAGGCATTCATGGTGAGAGTGTACCTGGAGGTGTCAGTGGTTACCCCAAAATACTCATCTGTAGACTT